TCCTGGTCAACATGGTGAAACCCCGTCTCTACTAAAAATACAAAAATTAGCTGGGCATGGTGGCGCGTGCCTGTGGTCCCAGCTACTCAGGAGGCTGAGGCAGGAGAATTGCCTGAACCCAGGAGGCGGAGGTTGCAGTGAGCCGAGATCACACCATGGCACTCCAACCTGGGTAATAAGCGCGAAACTCCATCTCAAAAGAAAAAAAAAAAACATGGAAATTAAACAATATGCTCCTGAATGACCAGTGACTCAGTGAAGAATTAAGAAAGAAACTGAAAATTTTCTTGAAACAAATGATAAAGGAAACAAAGAATCGAAACATACAGGTGAGTCTGGGACGTGCTACCTCCATGATCATCCCCGTGTGCACTGCTTCACCAGTGTAGATGGTCACCAGTGGAAAGATGTAGCAAGCCAGTGGGAGGCCTACCTGGGCTGATACACTGAGGGAGATGTCCTGGAGGCCCTGGGCCTGAAGCATTACTGCTGCCACTGCAGGCTGCTGGCCCATGTGGATCTGCTTGAGAATCTACTCAATTATGTACCTCTGGAGAAGTGACCTAACTGGAACCCAACACCCCACCGTGCCGCCCATGGGCAGTCAGTTTCTTGCCATGGGTTCACTAAGCTGAGGCAGCAGGGAGCTGGTGCAATGCCTTACTGCAGCATGTGGTAGTGTGTCTCAACCCCCACCCTAGAAGGGACTATCCAGTAAACGTCTTTCAGAACAACAACAATGGAAAACATCTACGGGATACAGCTAAAGCAGTACTAAAAAAGAAGTTTATACTCGTAAGTGCCTACATCAAAAAAGAAGAAAAACTAAGGCTGGGCAAGGTGGCTCACGCCTGCAGTCCCAGCACTTTGGGAGGCTGAGGCGGGCGGTTCACCTGAAGTCAGGAGTTGAAGACCAGACTGACCAAAATGGAGAAACCTTGTCTCTACTAAAAATACAAAATTAGGCCGGGCTCAGTGGCTCACACTTGTAATCCCAGCACTTTGGGAGGCCGAGGCGGGTGGATTGCAAGGTCAGAAGTTCAAGACCAGCCTGGCCAACACAGTGAAACCCCATTTCTACTAAAAATACAACAATTAGCTGGGCATGGTGAAAGGCACCTGTTATCCCAGCTACTTGGGAGGCTGAAGCAGGAGAATTGCCTGAACCCGGGAGAGAGAGGTTACAGTGAAGCAAGATCACGCCACTGCACTCTACCCTGGGCAACATGGGCGAAACTCTATCTCCCCCCAAAAAGAAGAAAACCTTCAAATAAACAACCTAATGATGCATCTTAAAGAACTAGAAAAGCCAGAGTAGCCAGGTGCAGTGGCTCATGCCTGTAATTCCAGCACTTTGGGAGGCCGAGACAGGCAAATCAGGAGGTCAAGAGTTCAAGGCCAATATGGTGAAACCCCGTCTCTACTAAAAATACAAAAATTAGCTGGGCATGGTGGCGCTCGCCTGTAGTCCCGATTACTCAGGAGGCTGAGGCAGAAGAATCCTTTGAACCCAGGAGGTGGAGGTTGCAGTGAGCCAAGACTGCACCATTGTACTCCAGCCTGAGCGACAGAAGGAGACTACACCTCAAAAAAAAAAAAAGAGTGGCCGGGCGCGGTGGCTCAAGCCTGTAATCTCAGCACTTTGGGAGGCCGAGGCTGGTAGATCACGAGGTCAAGAGATCGAGGCCATCCTGGTCGAAATGGTGAAACCCCGTCTTTACTAAAGATACAAAAAATTAGCCAGGCATGGTGGCGCGTGCCTGTAATCCCAGCCACTCGGGAAGCTGAGGCAGGAGAATTGCCTGAACCAAGGAGGCGGAGGTTGCGGTGAGCCGAGATTGCACCATTGCACTCCAGCCTGGGTAACAAGAGCGAAACTCCGTCTCAAAAGAAAAGCAAGAACAAAACAAACCCAAAAGTAGTAGGAGAAATAGTAAAAATCAGAGCAGAAATAAAATTGAAATAAAAAAAACAATACAAAATATCAATAAAGCAAACAGTTGGCTTTTTGAAAATAAAAACAAAATTGACAAACCTTATTAGCCAAACTGTGATAAAAAAGAAGACCCAAATAATTAAAATCAGTGATGAGAAAAGGCCACATAACAAGTGATACCACAGAAACTCAAAAGATCATGAGTGACTACTTTGAGCAACTATATGCCAATAATTTGGAACAGCTAAAAGAAATGGAAAAATTCCTAGACACATACAACCCTATCAGAATTAAACCATAGAGAAATCCAAGGGCCGGGCGCGGTGGCTCAAGCCTGTAATCCCAGCACTTTGGGAGGCCGAGGCGGGTGGATCACGAGGTCAAGAGATAGAGACCATCCTGGTCAATTTGGTGAAACCCCGTCTCTACTAAAAATACAAAAAATTAGCTGGGCACGGTGGTGTGTGCCTGTAATCCCAGCTACTCGGGAGGCTGAGGCAGGAGAATTGCATGAACCCAGGAGGCGGAGGTTGCGGTGAGCCGAGATCTCTCCATTGCACTCCAGCCTGGGTAACAAGAATGAAACTCATCTCAAAAAAAAAAAAAAAAAAGGAAAGAAAATATTGAAAAAGAGTCCCACGACACCACATGCTAAAGAACATATGGGTCTGGGTCAGGACCACTGAGGGAATGGAACATTCTTTACTTCTTTTTCTAGGATCCTTAAATGCTTCTATATACAAGTGCCTGGAGGAGAGGCAGACATTACAGGCACGTGTCCCTGATGGGATCTGATAAGCTCAGGCCTCCAGGCACCCTTTCTTGGCCCTGGAGTCCCGGGACCTGACTGGTTGTCCGACCTGCCCGCAGCAATGTAAAAGGTCATCTCTACCACCTATGCGATCTACAACAAAGATTCAACCTCCCAGGGCCCCAAAGCTCATCACCTCTCTCCTCGCTGTTCTTCCTTTGATTTGCATTTGGAAAACCTTTAAAATCCGGACTTTGATCCTGTCCCTTGTATAGAGTACACCTGACACAACTAACTCCACCTTAGAAAAAGACTGTTTGTATTTCACAGGACCTTCTGCCGTCAAGGATAAGATGTTTTCTTTAACAAACAACAACAAGAACTCAGGGCACGGTGGCTCACGCCTGTTAACTCCAGCAATTTCGGAGGCCTACGTGGACGATCACCTGAGGTCAGGAGTTGGAGACCAGCCTGGCCAACATGGTGAAACCCAATCTCTACTAAAAAGACAAAAATTAGCTGGCTATGTTGGCACAGTGGCGCACGCCTGTAATCCCAGCTCTCAGGAGGCTGAGGCAGGAGAATCGCTTGAACCCGGGAGGCGGAGGTTGCAGTGAGCTGAGATTGTCCCGTTGTACTCCAGCTGGGCAACAAAACAAGATTCTGTCTCAAAAAACAAACAAAACAAAAAGTAAAGAAAACAAAGATCGCTGGGTGCAGTGGCTCACGCCTGTAATCCCAGCATTTTGGGAGGCCAAGGCGGGTGGACTGCCTGATCTTGGGAGTTCAGCCTGGGAAACATGGTGAAACGCCGTCTCTACCAAAAATACAAAAAAATTAGCTGAACGTAGTGGCACATACCTGTAGTCCCACTTACTCGGGAGGCTGAGGCAGATGAATCACTTGAACCTGGGAGGCAGAGGTTGCAGTGAGTTGAGATCACGTCACTGCACTCCAGCCCAGGCGACAGAGCGAGACTCTGTCTCAAAATAAAAAAAAATAATAAAGACTGAATCTAACCAGGTAAGGTCACAAACAAGCACACTCTTCCACTATCAGTTCTAACCAAAGCATTCTGTGACTATAAAAGATTAGGCTGGGTTGCGGTGAGCCGAGATCGCGCCATTGCAGTCCAGCCTGGTTAACAAGAGCGAAACTCCATCTCAAAAAAAAAAAAAAAAAAGATTAGGCTGGCCGGATACAGTGGCTCACGCCTGTAATCCCAGCACTTTGGGAGGCCAATACAGGTGGATCGCCTGAGGTCAGGAGTTTGAGACCAGCCTGGTCAACATGGTGAAAGCCCGTCTCTACTAAAAATATGAAAATTAGTCGAGCATCGTGGGAGGCACCTGGAACCCCAGCTACTCGGGAGACTGAGGCACAAGAATAGCTTAAACCTGGGAGGTGGAGATTGCAGTGAGCAGGGATCATGCCACTACACTCTAGCCCGGGTGACAGAGTGAGACTGTCTCAAAAAAAAAAAAAGAAAAAAGAAGACTAGGCCTTCAGCAGCTCAAAAGGGCCGTCCTAACAGTCACTCATAATGAAAAATCAGCATCTGCTGCCTGAGGTTCTGCCACCTCAGACTCTTCCTTACAAGACTACCGTCCCATCACCCACCACCTGGCCTAGACCAGAATGCTTTCTTGGCTTCCTCTGAACTGGTTCCTTAACCTCTACTCCTATCTCTTTTCCCTCTTGATGCTAAACATTATTTGTTGTGGAAAGATTTATATGTTGAGTATATTATTGTGTACGGTTTGCTATAATGACTGACTTGTGGAGTGTCTAGAGCCTCTGTGCCCATGGCCCTGACTACCAAGGGAACTGCCTCCTTGGAACTCCATTTAGCTCATGGCTTTCGCTGACTCACATAACAACAGTAAACACTTGACACTGTGGAAAGACGCAAACATGTGTGGGCCTGATTATCTCTATCTACCCTTGCAATGCTCATAATAACCTTTTCTTCCAAACTCCCCATGGCTTCCAGTGTCCTCACGATGAGTGCACAGTCCCCAGCCTGCTTGCTCTTCCAGGAGCTCTGCCTCACAATTTGCTCCCAACAGGGACCTCACTACCCCAGATTCCATCCTTCCGGGTCAGTCCACCTCCAAGCCACTGCCCGCGCCAGTCCCCGTGCCTGTCGCTCTCCCCACCTTATCCCACGGGTGTTAGAAATGGGGCCCCTCCCGCGAGCGCCTGTGTCCCGGCGCCGGCGACCCGGCTGCAGAGACGTGAGCAGGCGCCGCTCCCTCGCTGCTTTTGGGTGAGGGTGAGGTGTTCTGAGGGCACGGAAGGCGCCACTATTACCTGAGCCGAGAGCCTCAGCGTGGCCGCCGCCATCGAACCACGTGGTTTGAAGTAGGGTCGGGAAGAGACAGCAACCAGCCAAGAGACACGGACACGGCGGTCCCTATCCTGGCCCAGGAGCGGGTCACGCTGGGCGCCGTCACAGAGCTCCAGATTTGCCTCTGTGTAGCGGAAGACAACTGCTCTCCGCCTTCTGAGTTCAGTCACCGCAGACCCAACCCAGCGCTCAGGAGCCTCTCACTGACTTACCAAACCAACACAAATCAAAATGGCCGCCACTAGAGGGCGCCGGAAGTCCGGACCCATTGTCCTGCGCACACAGGAAACGCCTTTCTTCTGCGCCCTCCTGGCTCTTCCACTCACGTCATTCGACGCGGAGTTTTCTGGGTAATGTAGTTCTCTAGGTAACAATCAGGGTACAGACGGCGCTTCCTAGAAGCGCCTTTGGAGGAAAACACCAGCTCCATCTCAGGAGTATCCTTAAGAGCCACATCCTGGCCGGGGGCGGTGGCTCACGCCTATAATCCCAGCACTTTGGGAGGCCGAGGCGGGTGGATCACGAGGTCAACAGATCGAGACCACCCTGGTCAACATGGTGAAACCCCGTCTCTACTAAAAATACAAAAATTAGCTGGGCATGGTGGAGCGTGCCTGTAATCCCAGGTACTCAGGAGGCTGAGGCAGGAGAATTGCCTGAACCCAGGAGGCGGAGGTTGCGGTGAGCCGAGATCGCGCCATTGCACTCCAGCCTGGGTAACGAGAGCAAAACTCGGTCTCCAAAAAAAAAAAAAAAAAAAAAAAGGAAGAAACACATTAAATAAACTGAATTTCCCCCCTCAAAAAAAATTAATTAAATAAAAATAAATAACAGATGGCACGTCTTTCTACTGAGCAGAGGATCATCCTGCCTTTCCTTGGAACTCATATTGAGATTTCTTGGGATTCTTGGATATAACTGATTACCCCAGTGCACGGAAAATCTTTCAGATTTACTGTAGATGCTCCCAAACTCTACAGATCCAAATTTACCTATCATTTCAAACGGTCCTTCAGATGCAAAATTCCTCTACTGGAAGCAGAGATTAATGCAAAAGTTAATAGCCATTATTGTATTGTTAAAATGAACGTGTATACCCAGCGGGTTTATTTTGCCCACTACCCAGATAGAGCCAATTTATCAGGACAGGGGAACTGCAAAAGAAAAACCGTTTTATTCACAGAATTGGATGAACAGCAGGCTGGAGTCTTATTAATAATTACTTAAATCAGTCTCCGTGAAAATTTGGAGACGGGTTTTGTTTTAATTTGTGGCTTTTTTACGGCTGTTTTTTGTGTATTTTTCAGACAGAGTCTCACTTTGTCACCGAGACTGGAGTGCAGTGGCATGATCTCGGCTCACTGCAACCTCTACCTCCCGGGTTCAAGGGATTCCTCTGCCTCAGCCTCCCGAGTAGCTGGGACTACAGATGCGCACCACCACACCTGCCTAATTTTTTGTACTTTACTAGAGACAGGGTTTTATCATGTTGGCCAGGATGGTCTCGATCTCCTGACCTTGTGATCTGTCTGCCTCAGCCACTCAAAGTGCTGGGATTACAGCGGTGAGCCACCGTGCCCAGCTCATCTTCAATGTATTTGATTGGTGTCTCATGCCTCCGTAAAATGTATAAGACCAAGCTGCGCCCCAACCCCCTTGGGCACATGTTCTCAGGACCTCCTCAGGGCTGTGTTACAGTCCATGGTCACTCATATTTGGCTCAGAATAAGTCCTCTCAAATAGACTATAGAGTTAGGCTCTCTTCCTTTTTTCTTTTTTTTTTTTTTTTTTTTGAGACGGAGTTTCGCTCTTGTTACCCAGGCTGGAGTGCAATGGCGCAATCTCAGCTCACCGCAACCTCCGCCTCCCGGGTTCAAGCAATTCTCCTGCCTCAGCCTCCCGAGTAGCTGGGACTACAGGCATGCGCCACCATGCCCAGCTAATTTTTTGTATTTTTAGTAGAGACGGGATTTCAACATGTTGACCAGGATGGTCTTGATCTCTTGACTTTGTGATCCACCCGTCTCGGCCTCCCAAAGTGCTGGGATTATAGGTGTGAGCCACCGCACACGGCCAGCTCTTTTCATCAACAGTGAAGAGACCTCCAACCCAGAGGAAAATCTGGCTTTGAGTAAATGGGGCGCAGATACCCAGGTAAGAATGTGATTGGTTTAGACATCCAACTTAGAGGAGGTAGAGTCTCTCCTAAGACAGAGAAGGCTAAAGGCTCCTTTCAATAACAGGCAAGGATGCTTGACCAACCTTTCCTTAGGTGCTCAACTTAGAAAGGGTTCCTAAGATTTAGGGGGTTAGAGGTCTCTCTCAGTAAAGTCCCTCTTTACTAAGAATGGGTTTGGCACTATGGGATGTGAACTGCTATTCTCCTTGGAATAGTCCCCGCCATGCTGATGGCTGTGGGTTACAGGATTACGCCTGTACAGAAGCACGGGACACGGGCAGCTTTTTTCTCCCCAAAATGGGAACGTTGAGAGCTGATGGGACGGCTGGAAAAGATCCCTTTGCTACTCACAAGCAGCCACCTGAACTCTTCCATGTCGCTGCAATGGGAAGGGGGGATCTTCTCGGGCCTCTCGAAGCTCCTCACCTTCCCCAACCTGCCACAGGCACTGCTTTTCTGTCTCGTTTCCTTTCTTATCTTTTCTGTTACTCAGGGTGACCATCTCGCCCAGGGACCCAAGTTGAAACTCCTGGTTGGAGGTTGGATTAAAGACAATGGAGCCCAGTGGGGGGCGGGGGGCAAGTTTGAGTCTTGCCAGTTTGATATTGGGGACTAAGCAGTGTGGCTAATGTGTATGTTTTGTCACACGTATTTTGCTCTGGCAAAGAATGGAAAAGATAATTTAGCTTTGTGTTGTGGCTTGGCCCCCCAGGGCTGTGGCGCAGCCAGCTGGGTCCCTAGGGTCTCTCAGGGATAGGGAAACCAGAAGCGTGGAATGCCAGCAAAAGGGTAACAAATTTTTTCCTTTTTTCTTTGAGACGGAGTTTCACTCTTGTTACTCAGGCTGGAGTGCAATGGTGCAATCTCAGCTCACTGCTATCTCCACCTCCTGGGTTCAGGCAATTCTCCTGCCTCAGCCTCCTGAGTAGCTGGGATTACAGGCACGCACCACCATGCCCAGCTAATTTTTTGTATCTTTAGTAGAGACGGGGTTTCACCATGTTGACCTGGATGGTCTTGATCTCTTGACCTCGTGATTCACCCGCCTCAGCCTCCGAAAGTGCTGGGATTACAGGCTTGAGCCACCGCACCCGGCCCCCTAATTTCTTTTTATTTTAGGAAAGACGGGGTTTCACCACGTTTCCCAGGTTGGTCTCAAACTCCTGAGCTCAGGCAATCTACGCTCCTCGGCCTCCCGAAGTGCTGGGATTACAGGCATGAGCCACCGCACTGGCAAGAATGTTTTACCAGTTAGATGGCTCATGCCTGTAACCCCAGCATTTTGGGAGGCTGAGGCAGGCAGATCACCTGAGGTCGGGAGTGAGGCTGAGGCAGGCAGATCACCTGAGGTCGGGAGTGAGGCTGAGGCAGGCGGATCACCTGAGGTCGGGAGTGAGGCTGAGGCAGGCGGATCACCTGAGGTCGGGAGTGAGGCTGAGGCAGGCGGATCACCTGAGGTCGGGAGTGAGGCTGAGGCAGGCGGATCACCTGAGGTCGGGAGTGAGGCTGAGGCAGGCGGATCACCTGAGGTCGGGAGTGAGGCTGAGGCAGGCGGATCACCTGAGGTCGGGAGTGAGGCTGAGGCAGGCGGATCACCTGAGGTCGGGAGTTCTACAACAGCCTGACCAATACCATGAAACCTGATCTCTACTAAAATAAAAATTAGTCATGGCTGGGCATAGTGGCTCAGGCCTGTAATTTCAGCACTTTGGGGAGGCTGAGGTGGGCAGATCACTTGAGGCCGGGAGTTTGAGGACCAGCCTGGCCAACACAGTAAAACCCTATCTCTACTGAAAATTGAAGAAATTAGTCAGGCATGATGGCACGTGCCTGTAATCCCAGCTAAGGCAGGAGAATCAATTTGACCTGGGAGATGGAGCTTGCAGGGCGCTGAGATCGCACGACTGCACTCCAGTCTGGGCGACAGAGCAAGACTCTGTCTTTAAAAGAAAAAAGTTAGTCATGCACCTGTAATTTCCGCTACTCGGGAGGCTGAGGCAGGACAATTGCTTGATCCCAGGAGGTGGAGATTGCAGTGAGCCAAGATGGGCCACTGCACTCCAGCCTGGGAGACAGAGCAAGACTGTCTCAAAAAGGAAAACTTTTTAAAAAGAGCCAATTTGTCCAAATCCAAGAAAGAAAAACAGTGGGTTTTTCTGTTTTGCTTTCAGCATATAAATGAAAGTAAACAGCAAGGAGAAAAGTCCCCTGGTTCCTATCCTACTGCCTCTGGATCACGCCTAATGGGCAGAGCTGCAAAAAGCAAGGGCCATATCTAAATAATCTTATTGCTCATAGCTCTTTTTTTTGAGACGGAGTTTCGCTCTTGTTACCCAGGCTGGAGCAGCAATGGCGCGATCTCGGCTCACCGCAACCTCAGCCTCCTGGGTTCAGGCAATTCTCCTGCCTCAGCCTATGGAGTACCTGGGATTACAGGCACGAGCCACCGTGCCCAGCTAATTTTTTGTATTTTTAGCAGAGATGGGGTTGCACCATATTGACCAGGATGGTCTCGATCTCTTGACCTCGTGATCCACCCACCTCGGCGTCCCAAAGTGCTGGGATTACAGGCTTGAGCCACTGCGCCCGGCGAAGTACTAAATCTTAAGAATAATTCTAACTTTCCTAAATTGGGCCTCAAACCTGTTAGGGACAAGCTGCTTCAGCAAACCCCCTCCGTGCAAGCAACGCCTTCCCCCACAATCTGATGGCTCTGCAGCTGCACTCCTGAACCCTACGTAGGTGCCACAGCAAGGCTGCCAGACGTGCTATAATTAAGCAAAGCCTGATTACTGCCATCCGGGCAGCTGGAGGGAGGACAGGGAAAACATGTTTGTTATCCATACTTGTAAAGCCCGGTTTGACACATATTTGTAAAAAATCGTGGTTTCTTTTTTAAAAACTGCTCCCACAAAAGTCACAGGATGATGTATTATAAGTCTGTTACAAGTTGACAAACTACCTCTGTGCTGTTACCAGCGGATAGATTACCTCAGTCCTGAAACTCCGTGATGCCCCTCTCACCCCATATAAACCCCTCATTTCATAGGCTTGGGGCTGCTTCCTGTGATTGTTACGGAGCAGCCTGGAAGGTTAATAAAACTTGCTTGCCTGACTTTGGGTCTATTCTTCCTTCTCTCAGCCAACCTTACAAAACCCAGTCAAACACCCTTGCCTTTTGTTTTTTGTTAAGACAGAGTCTCACTCTGTCGCCCACGCTAGAGTCCAGTGGCATAATCTCAGCCCACTGCAACCTCTGCCACTAAAGTTCAAGTGATTCTCTTGCCTCAGTCTCCCTAGTAGCTGGGACTACAGGCATGGACCACCTCACCTGGCTAATTTTTGTATTTTATTTTTTTTTAAAGACGGAGTTTCACCATATTGGTCAGGCTGGTCTCGAACTCCTGACCTCAAGTGATCCACCTGCCTCAACCTCCCAAAGTGCTGGGATCACAGGCATGAGCCACCGCACCCGGCAATTTTGTATTTCTAGTAGAGACAGGGTTTCATCATGTTGGCCAGGCTGGTCTTGAACTCCTGACCTCAGGGGATCTGCTCACATCAGCCTCACCAAGTGCTGGAATACAGGTGTGAGCCACTGCACCTTGCCTTTTATTGAGAGGAGACTTTAACCCTCTCTGTTTTAGGAGAGATTTTTTTTGGTTTTTGTGTGTTTGTCTTTTGTTCGTTTGTTTTTGAGACAGAGTCTCCCTCTGTTGCCTAGGCTGGAGTGCAGTGGTGTGATCTTGGTTCACTGCAACCTCCGCCTCCCAGGTTCAAGGACTTCTCTGCCTCAGCCTCCCGAGTAGCTAGGATTACAGGTGCCCACCACCATGCCCAGATAATTTTTGTATTTTCAGTAGTAGAGACACGGTTTCACCATATTGGCCAGGCTGGTCTTGACCGCCTGACCTCGTGACCCATCCATCTCAGCCTCCTAAAATCCTGGGATTACAGGCGTGAGCCACTGTGACCAGCCTGAGATGCTAACCCCTCTAAATTGGGCCTCTAAATCAATCCCATCCTTTACCCAGGTACATCGCCACTTACCCAAAGTCAGCCAATTAGTGCTGCAGCCTATTATCTTTGGGCCCGGGGGAGGGGGGCGCTTTCCTCAGTATCATCCCTTCAGGGTTCACCAGAAAGATGTTACCGGAAAGGAGTTCCAGTTCACACCCCAAGAGAGGTCAGGGCAAGTCGACAGTGCAAAGCAAAAGTAGGTTTGTAGGGCCAGGCGCAGTGCCTCATGCCTGTAATCCCCGCACTTTGGGAGGCCGAGGTGGGTGGATCACGAGGTCAACAGATCAAAACAATCCTGGTAAACGTGGTGAAACCCCGTCTCTACTAAAAATGCAAAAATTAGCTGGGCATGGTGGTGCGCGCCTGTAGTCCCAGCTACTCGGGAGGCTGAGGCAGAATTGCTTGAACCCAGGAGGTGGAGGTTGCAGTGAGCCGAGATCGCGCCATTGCACTCCAGTCTGGGTAACAAGAGCAAAACTCCGACTCAAAACAAACAAACAAACAAAAAATTTTAAAAGACCAGGTGTGGTGGCTCACGTCTGTAATCCCATCACTCTGGGAGGCTGAGGGGGATGGATCACTTGAGGTCAGGAGTTCATGACCAAGCTGGCCAAGGTAGTGGAACCCCGTCTTTTCTAAAGACACAAAAATTAGTCGGGCGTGATGGCAGCCACCTGTAATCCCAGCTACTTGGGAGGCTGAGGCAGGAGAACACTTGAACCTGAGAGGTGGAGTGCAGTAAGCCGAGATCACACTGCTGCACTCTGCCCTGGGTGACAGAGTGAGACTCTGTCTGAAAAAAAAAAAAAAGGCTTGGCATGGTGGCTGATGCCTGTAATCCCAGCACTTTGGGAAGCTGAGGTAGGCTGATGACCTGAAGTCAGGAGTGGGCGACCAGCCTGGCCAACATGGTGAAATCCCATCTCTACTAAAAATTAAAAATAGGCCAGGCGCGGTGGCTCATGCCTATGATCCCAGCAATTTGGGAGGCCGAGGCAGGTGGATCACGAGGTCAAGAGATCGAGACCATCCTGGTCAACAAGGTGAAACCCCATCTCTACTAAAAATACAAAAATTAGCTGGGCATGGTGGTGCGCGCCTGTAGTCCCAGCTACTTGGGAAGCTGAGGCAGAATTGCTTGAACACAGGAGTCGGAGGTTGCGGTGAGCTGGGATCGTGCCATTGCACTCCAGCCTGGGTAACAACAGAAAAACTCCATCCCCAAAAATATATATATATATCTCGAGGTGTGGTGGTAGACATCTGTAATCCCAGCTACTCGGGAGGCTGAGGCAGAACTGCTTGAACCCAGGAGTCGGAGGTTGAAGTGAGCCAAGATCGCGCCATTGCACTAGAGCCTGGACAAAGAGAGTGAAACTCCGTCTCAAAACAAAAACAGAAACAACCAAAAAAAAAACAGATAAAGCTCTTACCATGGACTTTGTGAGGTGCCCTGTCTTTGGTCAGCCATGAGAGGAAGAATAATTCAGAGTAAGACCAACAGATTCTAGGAAGCCCTCAGAGAAACTGAGGTGGCGCCCTGCCTCCAGCTCCCTCAGAGTCAGTGTCCCAGATAATTTTCTTCTGATTGGGACACTAACCTGGGAACAGTGGTTACTTACAGTATTATTTACTGCCAAAACCGTGCCTGCAGTGTCAGCATTCATGCAAGTGGAGAAAGGGACATGGGACCCTGAGAGAAGATTCTAGATTCCATAATCTCACCTTCTTGCTGGGTAGGACCACTTGTTTCAGCAGAAAGTGCAATGAGAGTGTCTGCACAGGGCCTGGAGATTATCACTGGAAAATAGCTTGGAGTGAGGAAATTAGTTAATAATATGGATGAATGATGTTACCCACTGAGAATACCATAGTGGCTAGAAGACAAAAGCTTCAGTACACATAAATCTCAATGGGTAGTGAGTAGAGGAACGGGAGCTCTGAGATAATTAATTGGAGCCCATGGCTATTCTAGAACTTGGATAACAAAATTCTTTATACAAACTGTGTATCCTTTCCATACCGGAGAACTCCGAGACATACAAGCTTAGAAGAAAAGAAATAGGTAATCTTAGAAAGATGTCAAATACAAGCCAGGTGTGGTGGCTCATGCTGTTATACCAGCACTTTGGGAAGCCAAGATGGGCGGATCACCTGAGGTTGGGAGTTTGAGGCCACCCTGACCAACATGGAGAAACCCCATCTCTACTAAAAATACAGAATTAGCCAGGTGGGGTGGCACATGCCTATAATCCCAGCTACTCAGGAGGCTGAGGCAGGAGAGCTGCTTGAACCCAGGAAGCGGAGGTTGCAGAGAGCCAAGATCATGCCATTGCACTTCAGACTAGTAACGAGGGCGAAACTCCATCTCAAAAAAAAAAAAGAAAGATGAAATAGAAACAAAGCTGTAGTGGCATAATAATTATTTGCCAGGAATGTATACATATTGTCACTTTGGGACACTTATTCCACACGAAGTGGATAACCAGCTCATAGCTCTTGCGGTACTGAAAAAACAAGGATTCACCCAGGCACAGTGGCTCATACCTGTACTCCCAGCACTTTGGGAGGCCAAAGCAGGTGGATCACTTGAGCTCAGGAGCTAGAGACCAGCCTGGACAACATGGTTAAACACCAACCATCACCACTAAAATAAATAAATATATATATAAATAAAATTACCCAGGTGTAGTGGTGTACACCCCTGTAGTCCCAGCTACTCGAAAGGCTGAGGCAGAAAAGCTTGAACCCGGGAGGTGAAGGTTGCAGTAAGCTGAGATCATGCCACTTCACTGTAGTATGGGGGAGAAAGTAAGACTCCATCGTAAAAAAAAAAATTTTTTTAAAAGTATTCCTTGCAGCAAACTGGTATCACTGAAGAATGAATGAGGTCCAACATAAGTCTTTCTTATTTTTTTTTTTTTTGAGGCAGAGTCTCGCTCTGTCTCCAGGCATCAGGCTGGAGTGAGTGGCACGATCTCGGCTCACTGCAATCTCTGCTTCCAGGGTTCAAGCAATTCTCCTGCCTCAGACTCCCGAGTAGCTGGGACTACAGGTGTGCACCACCATGCCCAGCTAATTTTTGTATTTTTTAGTAGAGACGGGGTTTCACTATGTTGGCCAGGATGGTCTCAATCTCTTGACTTTGTGATCCACCCACCTCAGCCTTCGAAATTGCTGGGATTACAAGTGTGAGCGACCGCACCCGGCTCTTATTTCATTATTTTCCAATTTCTTAATTAAATAAGACATAGATAAAATTCATTTTAAAAAAATAGATAAAAATTTGTTTTAAAAAACAAACCTGGCCAGGCGCAGTGGCTCATGCCTGCAATCCCAGCACTTTGGGAGGCCGGGGTGAGTGGATCACCTGATGTCGGTTGCAGTGAGCCGTGACCGTGCACTGCACTCCAGCGTGGTGACAGAGCGACACTGTTTCCCAAAAAAAAAAAAAGGTGTACATTGACCTATCATGTGACTCAGGCACTGCACAGCACCATGTTAACATAGTGGAACATATCTATACGAACAACCACATTCAAATGTAGTTTTATTTACAACAGACAAAAACAAGCAGCAACTGAAATACACTGCATCAGATAAACAATACACAGGTAATTTTTCACAGCATGTTACTCTTTTTTCTTTTTTGTAGCGAAGAGGTCTGGCTATGTTGCCCAGGCTGGTCTCTTAACTCCTGGCCTCGAGTGATCCACCTTGTCCTCCCAAAGCATCAGAATTACAAGCAAGGGCCGCCATGCCTGGTTGAGCATGTCATATTCTAAGCAATATAAGAAAAATTGAGGCTGGGTGCAGAGGCTCATGCCTGTAATCTCAGCACTTTGGGAGGCCAAGGCAGGTGGATCACTTGAGGTCAGGAGTTAGAGATCAGCCTGGCCAACATGGTAAAACGCTGTCTCCACTAAAAATACGACAATTAGCCAGGCATGGTGGTGTGCACCCGTAATCCCAGCTACTCAGGAGGCTGGTGCAGGAGAATCCCTTGAACCAAGGAAGTAGAGGTTGCAAAGAGCCGAGATCACACCACTGCATTCTAGCCTTGGTGACAGAGCAAGACCGCCTCAACCTGACGTCTCTTAAGGAGAGCTGACATTCTGATGTCTCCCCCGTCGACAGCACTCTTAAGGCCTTTGTCCAGTATGAACTCTCCTGTGTTTAATGAGACTGGAGGTTCCAGCAAAGGATTTCCCACATTCACTCACTCATAAGGTGTTTCTCCTGTGTGAACTCTCTGATGTTGAAGGAGAGCAGAGCTGCGATGAAATCTCTTTCCACATTTGGTGCATTCATAAGGCCTTTCTCCAGTGTGAACTCTCCTGTGTTTAGTGAGACTGGAACATTCAGTAAAGGATTTTCCACATTCCCTGCACTTAAAAGGCTTTTCCCCAGTGTGAGCCCTTTTATGAACAAGAAGCACAGAACTGTAAGAAAATGATTTCCCACATTCGCTGCATTCATATGGCCTTTCTCCAGTGTGAACTCTCCGATGTATAGTCAGGCAGTTCTTATTGCCAAATAATTTCCCACATATGTCACACTCATATGGCTTTTCTCCTGTGTGAACTCTCTCGTGAACAAGAAGATGACACCTCCTGTTAAATAATTTCCCACACTCCCTGCAACTGTAAGGTCTTTCCCCAGTGTGAAGTCTCTGGTGTTCAGTGAGGTGGGATCTGTACCTAAATGACTTCCCACATTCCTTGCACTCATAAGGCCTTTCTCCTGTGTGACCTCGCTGATGCTGAATGAGGTTGCCCTTTTGAACAAAAGATTTCCCACATTCTTCACACTCATAAGGCCTTTTTCCAGCGTGAACACGCTGATGTTGACTAAGGTTGCGCTTCCGACTAAAAGATTTCCCACACTCCCCACAGTGATAAGCTGTGTCTCCAGTGTGAAATCGCTGATGTTGAGTGAGGTGGCCCTTTTGACGAAAAGATTTCCCACATTCTCCACACTCATAAGGCCCTTTTCCTGTGTGAATTCGCTGATGATTCCTGAAGCTGTCATATTTGCTAAAGGACTTCCCACAGTCACTGCACACATAACATCCATCTCTAGTGAAAAGTTTCTGGTGTGGAGTGAGTGAGTGTTTGGTGCTGAAGACTTTTGTGCGTTCTCCACGCCTGTAGTTAGTTTTCCCCTCCTGAAAGGGTGAGCCATGCTTAGATTCACTCTTTGTCTTCTTTACAGGGTGAGTGGCTTCTTCCTGGCATGATCCTGAACTGGGCAGAACGTCATTCCCAAAGTCACAGAAGACAGATGACTCCTGTGACACCATCAACTTAGACTTCTTCACAATCGATGCTTCTCTGACACTCCTCCTGCAGAATTTCTCTCTAATATGCTGCTTCTGCTGCCGATGAAGGTTTGCAGTGTCATCCAAGTTTTTTCCACACGCCCTACTCCTGTTCGGTTTCTGCTTGCGATGAGTTTCCTGGTGGTCAGCACAGTGAAAAACATCCCCCAAGATGAGGCCACCCGTGTCACAGGAGTGAGCCTTCCTGGGAGAAACAGCCCTAGGAGTCCTGTCCTGAGACTCTGTTTGTACAATCATGCTCTGCTTCGACGGTGCTGCCTCATCTTTTAATCCACACCAACAACCTGAAAGCAAGGAAATGCTGGTCAAGGTTAAGTACCTGTGATGGGGAGGCACTGCCCACCCACAAATATGAATCACAAATTGAGGAATTACTCTATAGAAATATTTGCAGAGCCTGTAGTCCCAGCTACTCGGGAGGCTGAGGCAGGGGAATTGCTTGAACCCAGAAGGTGGAGGTTGCGGTGAGCCGAGATCGCATCATTGCACTCCAGTCTGGGAACAACAGTGAAACTCCGTCTCAAAAAAAAAAAAAAAAGAAAAAGAAATATTTGCAGAAATACAACGTTGGCTTCAGGTTAAAGATTAGGCTACTGACTGGGCACAGTAGCTCATTCCTGTAATCACGGCACTTTGGGAGACTGAGGCGGGCGGACCACCTGAAGTCAGAAGTTTGAGACCAGCCTGACCAACAACACGGTGAATTCCCGTCTTTACTAAAAATACAAAAATTAGCAGGGCATGGTGGCGGGAACCTGTAATCCCAGCTACTTGGAAGGCTGAGGCAGGAGAATCACTTGAACCCAGGAAGCGGAGGTTGCCGTGAGCCAAGATCACACCATTGCACTCTAGCCTGGGCACAAGAGTGAAAATCCGTCTTTAAAAAAAAGGCCAGACATGGTGGCTCATGCCTGTAATCCTAGCACTTTGGGAGGCCTAGGTGGGTGGATCACGAGTTCAAAACCAGCCTGGTCAACATGGCAAAACCCCATCTCTACTAAAAATACAAAAATTAGCTGGGCTTGGTGGTGGGCACCAAGAATCAAAGCTATTCGGGAGGCTGAGGCAGAAATATCGCTTGAACCCAGGAGAAGGAGTTTGCAGTGAGTGGAGATCAGGACACTGTACTCCAGCCTGGGCAACAGAGCGAGACTCCATTTCAAAAAAAAAAAAAAAAAGATGGGTCTGCTGCTTAGCAATACTGGGCTATAAAGATCAGAGAATGCAGGAGGCCTCATGAGGTAGAGAGCACAAGCATACACGCAACACAGGGAGTAGAGGCAGGGTCTAGAGCTCTTTCCTCTAAAAAGAAGTTGTGTACGGGACCTCATCTCCTGATGCCATGTGAGTGCTACATAGCAGTGCATGTCTAAGCCCTGGAAAACATGAGTAAACACAGCAAGGGAGGCCATGGATGGTTTAACAATAAGCATACACTTCCTAATAACAATCAATACACCAGGCCGGGCACAGTGGCTCACGCCTATAATCCCAGCACGTTGGGAGGCTGAGGCAGGCAGATCACGAGGTCAGGAGTTCAAGACCAGACTAGCCAACGTCGGGAAACCCCGTCCCTACTAAAACAAATATAAAAATTAGCTGGGGATGGTGGCTCGTGCCTGTAATCCCAGCTACCTGGGAGGCTGGTAGGAGAACTCCTTGAACCGAGACCGAGGAGGTGGAGGTTGTAGTAAACTGAGATTGCGCTAACTGCACTCCAGCCTGGGCTACAGAGCGAGACTCCATTTCAAAAATAGTAACAATAATAAGAATCGATACACCAATATCAGAGACAACTGCAGATAAAAGCACAAGAACAATGGGTGCCACGTGGAGTCCAGAGATGTGAGTATCAGTCCTGGGATGATTATCACAGTGGAAGTAAAAAGGTACAGAACTAGGCCGAGCGCAGTGGCTCAAGCCTGTAATCCCAGCACTTTGGGAGGCCAAGGCAGGTGGATCACGAGGTCAAGAGATCGAGACCATCCTGGTCAACATGGTGAAACCCCGTCTCTACTAAAAATACAAAAATTAGCTGAGCATGGTGGCGCGTGCCTGTAATCCCAGCTACTCGGGAGGCTGAGGCGGGAGAATTGCCTGAACCCAGGAGGCGGAGGTTGCGGTGAGCCGAGATCATGCCATTGCACTCCAGCCTGGGTAACAAGAGCGAAACTCCATCTCAAAAAAAAAAAAAAAAAAAGGTACAGAACTAACAAGTGTGAAACTCTCAACAATGGGGACAGAAAGATAGATAGTGTGTGCCTACTCATATCGCAACGAAAATACTCAGCATATAGAAATGGTTTCTGGTATGATTTCAATAGACCCCCGAAGTCATGCCCTCCCCCAGCATGGCACTTTTGAGGGACAGGCTCCCTTTGAGCCTATCGTGATGAGCCTGAATTGAAACACATCTTGTGAAACACTGAGGACTCTCCATCCCACCCCCAAGATGACCAAATACATGGGACTGGAAGATGTCAGCACAAAGGGAAGGGCAGCAGAGATGAACAGGAAACACTAGCTCCCGGTAACTAAGCACCCGACAGCCCACAGGACAGTAAAACTAAGTATTACAAGAGAATTCCTAAGCAGGTCTATGGTCTATTTTGGTAGTGACAATGTCAATGAAGGCAATTGTTGGCACAGGGAGGCATGAAGAATTATCACCTATAGGAAGGAAGTATACTAGAACCTAGGCACACAAGAGCCACAGATTTGGACAGTCACCTAAAAGCTACAGAGCAAGCAAAGTGGATACATTAAGGTGCCTGTAAGACTCCGGACTCTGACTCTTTCTCTGGGAGCCTACAGCAAAGCACGGGTTGGAGCTGCTTAAGGAAAGGAAAAGGCAATACACACACCTGAGTCCTACTCGCCACATAACTTACACAGAGAAGTGTAGAAGGAACCTGTGCCCAGGCCCCTTAAGTGAGAAAGACAGTCTTGTCAATGAAAAACAGCGAATGGAAACACTAGCTCAGGTCACAAAAGTGACTGTGAGCAACTTACCCAGGGAGGATATAAGTGCCAGGTTCTCTAGCATCACATCACGGTACAAGCATCTCTGAGCCTCACTAAGGAGACACCATTCCTCCTTGGAAAAGTTCACAGCCACATCTTCAAAGGTCACAGTGCCCTGCTATGATAGTGACAAATGAAACAACAAACAGCCCCTATACTGAGGTACCACAATCCACCTCTCCCACACACCCACCCTTGCCCATCTTCCTCCCAGGGTCCGCAATATAATGGACATGAAACCATGTCTACTGGTGCCTTTTTCTCTTCATGGGTGCAATGGTCAACTGGTAGAGCCACCAGCAATATTAAGTAGGTAGACGAGGCTGGGGTCAGTGGCTCATGTCTGTTATCCCAGCACTTTGGGAGGCCAAGGCGGGCTGATCACAAGGTCAAGAGATCCACACTATCCTGGCCAACCTGGTGAAACCCTGTCTCTACCAAAAAAACCAAAAAAATTAGCTGGGTGTGGTGGTGCATGCCTGCAGTCCCAGTTACTCAGGAGGCATGGTGCGATCTCGGCTCATCACAACCTCCGCCTCCTGAGTTCAAGCAATTCTCCTGCATCAGCCTCCCGAGTAGCTGGGATTACAGGCACGCGCCACCATGCCCAGCTAATTTTTTTTGTATTTTTAGTAGAGACGGTGTTTCACCTTGTTGACCAGGATGGTCTCGATCTCTTGACCTTGTGATCCACCTGCCTCAGCCTCCCAAAGTCCTGGGATTATAGGCGTGAGCCACCGCGCCCGGCCCATATACGTCATTCTTTATACTGCAGACACATGCTCATGGCCACCCCCACCTGAGTTTCCCCCACAATCAGCCATCTCTGGAATCCCCACAAATAAAAGATTGTTTTCTGTTTTTGTTTTTGTTTTTCTTTTGAGATGGAGTTTCGCTGTTGTTACCCAGGCTGGAGTGCAATGGCGCAATCTTGGCTCACCGCAAGATCTCGTGATCCACCCGCCTCGTCCTCCCAAAGTGCTGGGATTATAGGCGTGAGCCAACGCACCCGGCCTGTTTTTTTTTTTTTTTTTAAATGAAACATAGTTTAGCTCTGTCACCCAGGCTGGAGTGCAGCGGCATGACCTTGGCTCACTGCAGCCTCTGCCTCCCAGGTTGAAGTGATTCTTTTGCCTCAGCCTCCCAAGTAGCTGCCAGGACTACAGCTGCAATAATTTTTATATTTTTTTTTTAGTAGAGATGAGGTTTCACCATGTTGGCCAGGCTACTCTCGAACTCCTCACCTCAAGTGATCCACGTGCCTTGGCCTCACAAAATGCTGAGATTATAAGCATGGGTCACCACACCGAGCCCCCACAAATAAAATTATTTTGTAAGATGAAGAGGGTATAATGGTCCATGATTCTCTTGGGAGTATGCAAATGGTTTGTTTCCATAACTCTGGTGGTAAGGATGGAATTTAATCCCACTACAAAGTATAACAACAGGGAACCCTGCCTCACCACCTTGATCAAAAGGGTTGCTAGGCTGGGATAAATTATCTGAGAGAGAAGAGTGGAAATGAGATTTGTACTAACACCTTTTAAGGTTTTCCCACTATCACAAGATGTCAAAATAACACATCATATTGGGCCTTCAGTTCTGGTCTTACACCAAAATGTGAATAAATAAGCATCCAGAGTATGCTGACAAATACAAACAGAATTCAATATTAATACAGAATTTCCATGGTTTCCATAGCATGGAAGGCCCAAATCATCCTGTGAATGTCTACCTGAATGACTCCATACCCACACAGAACCATGAGTGGCTTCAGATATCCATGACCCTATTCCACTTCCGTGCTGCACCAGCTGACACCTCAGCTGTAGCAGCCCTCCTCTGTCCACCCAATGCCATTTAAAGCAAAGCCCCTCCATTTGTGGAAAAAAACAAACCTACTATCACACAGGAGCATATTTTTCCCTGCCCATACGCACTAGGCTTAATGAAATTCTCCAGGCACTCCCAAAACGATTGTGAGTCCAAACAGTGGTAAAGTTACAACTGGCCGGGCGTGGTGGCTCACACCTGTAATCCAAGCACTCTGGGGGCCAAGGTGGGCGGATCACCTGAGGTCGGGAGTTGAAGACCAGCCTGACCAAAATGGTGAAACCTCCGTCTTAATTAAAAAAAAAAAAAAAAAAAAAATTTACAACTTTGGCACCAATTCAGGCCCAAGTACCATCTTCCCTGAATTACTCTGTGCTTCTGCATGCATCTATCTCTTGTCTATCCTCTTCTTGGATGTCTGTGTCCCCTGCCAACCTCTAGTGTCTGATAGCTCCTACGATGATGGTTCCTTACATCCTCTTAGGTGTTCAGGAAGCCCAGTAACATTACTCAGGGGTGCAAGTAAGAGACCCACTCCTCAGCATGTAATCACACCTTCCCGGCTCCTGAAAAGATTTACCACCATAAGCTGGGCGTGATGGCTTATGTCTGTAATTCCAGCGCTTAGGGAGGCGGAGGCTGAGGCGAGCGGATCACCTGAGGTCGGGAGTTTGAGACCAGCATGACCAACATAGAGAAACCCTATCCCTACTTAAAATACAAAAGCAGCTGGCCGTAGTGGCTCATGCCTTAACACCACTGAGTCAGGATAATTGCTTGAACCTGGAAGGTGAAGGTTGCAGTGAGTCGAGATCATGCCACTGCACCCCAGCCTGGGTAATAAGAGCAAAACTCTGTCTGGAAAAAAAAAAAAAAAAAAAAAGATTTGGCTGGGCGTGGTGGCTCACGCCTATAATCCCAGCACTTTGGAAGTCAAGGCAGGTGGATCATAAGGTCAAGAGATCGAGACCATCCTGGTGAACATGGTGAAACCCCATCTCTACTAAAAATAGAAAAATTAGCTGGGCATGGTGGCACGTGCCTGAAGTTCCAGCTACTAGGGAGGCTGGGGCAGAAAAATTGCTTGAACCCAGGAGGCGGAGGTTGGGACGAGCCAAGATCACGCCAGTCTGGGTAACAAGAGCAAAACTCCATCTCAAAAAAAAAAAAAATTGCACTCCAGTCTGGGTAACAAGAGCGAAACTCCATCTCAAAAAAAAAAAAAAGATTTTGCAGATATCCATTGATTGGGAAAAAAAAGAAAACCTAGCTGTGTCTTTACAAAAAGTGAATCTTGAATCCAGACCCATGTGATTTGCCACGACCCATTCACCCTCACATGGATTATGGCAGGAGCCTTATCTCTGACCTTTCTTCCTCGTCCCTCAACCCACAATGTGCTCCAGGGTCCAACCAATGAAGCCTGTAGCCAGATAGAACTGTGGTAACATCGCCTCCTAACTTTGATCAGCTTTATCTCTAAGCATTGCACAACCTGGTAGCAACTCTGGAGTTCATCTTCCAAGTGTGTTTATATTGGTTGACAGAAATCGGACTACCTCCATAAAACCTTCCATGGAATTAGTACGGGTGGTTTACAAGTTCTACACGGTCCTCAGATCAAAGCACTGAAAACATTACACTTAGGAGTCCCAGGACACCACAAGCTAGAAAACCTGTGGAAGGGGTCAGGACCAATGAGGGAATGGAACACCCTCCACTTCCCAATGTAGGTTCCCTGAGTGCTTCTGAACCCAGGAATGCCTAAGGGGAAGGACAGACATTACAAAAATGTTACAGGATTTGATAAGCTCAGGCCTCCTGGAACCCTTTCTTGTCCCCGGGGCCAGGTGACCCTCAGGCTGGTTGTCTGACCTGCTTGTCTCAGTGTAAAATGTCATCTCTACCACCTATGTCAGCTACAAAAAAGATTCAACCTCCCAAGACCCCAAAGTCCTCGTGCCCTTTGGGAAACCTTAAAGCCTGGATTTGGATCATGTCCCTCCTCTCTTCAAAACTCTCCATGGCGTCTAGCATCCTCACAATAAATGCACAGCCCTCAGCCTGCTTGCTCTTCCAGGAGGAGCTCCGCCTCACACATTGTTTTCAACAGGCGCCTGTGGATCCCAGGTTCCATACTCCCAGTTCTGTCCGTCTCCAAGCCATTGCCTGCGACCCTCCCTGTGCCTGTCTCTCTCCCCACCGCATCCCGCGGGTGTCAGATGCAAGTGAAACCGCCTTAGCAAAGTTATAAATAACTGAGGAAATGATGACAGTGAAAGAACTCAGACCTAACAGACTCCATCTCGCTTCTAACATTTAAGCTGCCCTTGTTCATTCCTGAATATACTTTGGGAAGGAATTCAGTTCATGGTTTGACTCTGAAACAAAATTGATCATAAGAGCCTTTTCCTCAAAAGACCCCCTTCCTGCCTGGGGACCAGCCTGCTTTTGCAGGACTAACAAATCAGCTACAGGATTAGAAATCACGGTTTAGGGGTCGTGCAGCTTCTGGCTCCAACAGTCTGAAGCGCCCCAAGTTGCTCCTGAAGATGACATCGCTACTGTACAACTTCACATCGGTGCTGGAGGTATTCTGCAGACCTTGCGCTGGGCGGATCAGCCGACACCACCCAGACCGGTAATCTGGGTCAGTCAGTTCTGCCATCCCACCCAAAACAGAAAACAGGAAGAAAAACTCACTTCGACCCCCTGTGAATCCACCTCCAACCTGACCAGTCGACACGCCCCACTTCCCAAGCCACTGTCCGCCAAATTAACTTTGAAATCTCTGATCCCGGCATGCTCCGGGAGACGGATTGAAATAATAGTAAAACTCCGGCCTCCCGCACGGCCGGCTCTGCGTGAATTACGGTTTCTCCGCTGCAATCAGCCCGTCTTCATGAATCCGCCGTCTAGGCAGAGGGCAAGGCGAGCGCACTGGACGGTTACACGGGGACCTCTCCTGCGAACGCCTCACTGTGGCTGCGCCGGGTGCCGGCTACAGACCCCTGAGCAGGCGCTGCTCCCTCGCCGCGTTAGGACCTCGGTGACGACGAGGTGACCTGACGGTGCAGAAGGCGCCACAATTACCTGAGCCGGAAGCCTCGGCGCCGCCGCTGCCATCGGACACGCGGGGGAAGGCACGGCCCGGGAGCAGCGGGCGCCGTCCCGGGGCTGCAGAGCCGCCTCTGTGCCGCGGGGACGGTTCCCCTCCACCTTCTGAGTTCAGTCACCGCGACCCCACCCAGCGCTCAGAGCACCCTCCCTGGGAAAACAGGCGCCGATCACCAGCCAACATGGCCGCTACTAGAGGACGCCGGAAGTCTCGGCCTTTCGTTGCGTCACACACGGAAATACGTCTTTCCGAGCCCTCATTGGCTCTGCCGCGCGGAGGGTCAACCAGAGCTTTCAGGGTAACGTAGTTCCCCACGTTTCACGGTGGTAAATGGGGCGCTCCACAGAGGCGAGTGTGCGGGAAAAGCCCAGTCAGGTCAGGGGCTCTCCTTAAAAAGCGAGTCGTTGGCCGGGCGCGGTGGCTCAGGCTTCTAATCCCAGCACTTTGAGAGGCGGAAGCGGGTGGATCACGAGGTCAGGAGTTGGAGACCGGGACGGCCAATATGGTGAAGCAACGTGTACAGTAAAAATACAAAATTTAGCTGAGCGTGGTGGCGCGCGTCCATCGTCCCAGAGACTGAGGCAGGAGAATCGCTTGAACCTGGGAGGCGAAGGTTGCAGTCAGCCGAGATCGCAGCACTGCACTTCAGCCTGGGTGGCAGAGTAAGATTCTGTCTGGAGGAAAAAAAAAAAAAGCGCGTCCTTCTAGGGCAGAGGATGGGTCTCACCTCGCCTTGGAAGCCATAATGAGATTTCTGGAGACTAGTGTCTGTCACTAATCACTCAAGAATTTGGAAAAATATTATTTCAAATTTTGGGAAGCTCAAGCTAAATAATAGGGATCTCAAGCTAAAAGTATTATTTAGGATTCTCCCAAAGGCTCCAAATCCAAATTACCATACCGTTTGAAACAGTCGTTCAGTCGCAGAATACCTGCACTGGAAGCAGAGGTTGCTACACATTATTGTGTTAGAATTTTTATAATGCCCTCAGAAGCATGAGTCCCTAAGGCACGACACAGAAGTTAGAGAGGTACCCCTCTAAAGCAGAAGTACAAAGTTGAATCTCTGTGAGTCCTACAGAAAATAACTCTCCTGCTAACAGAATTTGTGAAAGGAAAATATTGTGGCCCAAAAATTACTAAGCTAAAGAGAAAGTCAAGCAGGGAACTGGTCAGGACAAACTTGCCTCCCTGCCAGAGACCCCAACCGAGGTGGTGCTGAAGGAATTCAGAAACAGAAATAAAGAGAGAATGCACAAGTGAAATCAAAGTGGGATGTCAGGGATCTGCCTGAATTTCCCATCTGACAGCCCAGAGCAGACGTATTTATTCTTTGTGAACAAGTGGTTTTTTTTCTCCTCCCCACCGACCCAAGTGATTATTTTTAATAAACAGATACTCAGTGTTCACAGAATACAGATAGACTAAACAGGCAGATAGTGCCTGTTCACTGCTGAGATAGAAATAAGCTAAAAAACACTCTTTGGGCCGGGCACGGTGGCTCAAGCCTGTAATCCCAGCATTTTAAGAGGTCGAGGCGGGTGGATCATGAGGTCAAGAGATCGAGACCATCCTGGTCAACATGGTGAAACCCCGTCTCTACTAAAAATACAAAAAATTAGCTGGGCATGGTGGCGCGTGCCTGTAATCCCAGCTACTCGGGAGGCTGAGGCAGGAGAATTGCCTGAACCCAGGAGACGGAGGTTGCGGTGAGCCGAGATCGCACCATTGTACTCCAGCCTGGGTAACAAGAGCTAAACTCCATCTCAAAAAAAAAACAAACAACACTTTGCAAGTCAGCAATGAGGACAAGGTCAAATATCCTGTGTTTTGGGAGCTGGTTTAACTAATGCACGACCAGTACATACTGTTTGCTTATTCTAGCAGTTTCCTGTCGGGATGGCTCAGTGTTCCTTCCAGGTGTTCCTTGCCATCACCTCAGCAAACAACATATACTCCATCACACACACACACATATGTCAAAACTTTCTCCCAAAACCTCCCATTCAATTCAGAGTCATCCTTCTCCCCACTGAGACAGGTGCATACTCTTACTGCCTCCTTTGGAAAGGCTTATCAGAAACTAAAAAAAAAATGCAACTATTTGTCTCTCACCTACCAGGGATCTGGAATACCCTGCTTCAAGTTGTCTCCCAGCCTTCCTAGATGGAACCAATGTATTTCTTTTTTTTTTTTTTTGAGAAGTAGTTTCCCTCTTGTTGCCCAGGCTGAAGTGCAATGGCACGATCCTCTGCCTCCTGGGTTCCACCAATTCTCCAGCTACAGCCTCCCAAGCAGCTGGGATTACAGGCATGCGCCACCATGCCTGGCTAATATTTGTATTTTTTTTATTAAAGATGGGCTTTTACCATGTTGGTCCGGCTGGTCTCAAACTCCTGACTTCAGGTGATCCACCCACCTCAGCCTCCCAAAGAGCTGGGATTACAGGCATGAGCCACCATGCCCAGCCCACCAATGTACTTCTTACATATATTCACTGATGTCTCAGGTCTCCCTAAAATGTATAAAACCAAGCTGTAGTCGGGCACAGTAGCTCACGCCTGTAATCCCAACACTTTGGGGAGCTAACGCGGGCAGATCAGGTCAGGAGTTTGAGACCATCCTGACCAACATGGTGAAACCTTATCTCTACTAAAAATACAAAAAAAATTAGCTGGGCGTGTTGGCATGTGTCAGGCCTCAAAGTCCAAGCCTGGCCATTATAGGCTTGGTGACCTGCACGTACACCTCTGGTTGGACCCCAGGAGCCAGAAAGTCTTAAGTAACCACAAGTAACCAGGTGGCCACAGAAAGAAGTGAAACAACTGGTTCCCGCTTCAACTAATTGCTGTGCCCCTGTAACCTGCAACCTCCAACCATTGTTCCTGCTCAGTCTTTCGGAATTTCCCCCTTGGACACTGGGTTTCTCAAGACCCCCACCCCTGTAAGTATGTAATTTACCTGACCGTCCCCTCTGCTTGCAATGGATAACCCCCACCCTTATGATCATGCCTATTTGTAATAGATGACCCTACCTTTGTGATCATGCCTCCCACGATGCCCTTCCCCTCCCCAAGATAGATTCCCGAACCCTAACCTTGTGACCATGCATCCCGTGACTCCCTTTCCTTTCCTATAATAGATTACCACCTTTAACTAACCACTTGCGCCAACCTGTAAAACCAGCTCCTATCCCACTGCCCTCTCTGCTGACTCTCTTTTAAGACTCATCCCAGCACACACCTGTAATCCCAGCTACTCAGGAGGTTGAGGCAGGAGAATCACTTGAACCCAGGGAGGCGGAGGTTGCAGTCAGTGAAGATTACACCACTGCACTCCAGCCTGGGTGACAGAGTGAGACTCTTGTCTTGAACCAAAAACAAAACCCAACAAGCTGTACCCCAACCAGCTTAGGAACAGGTCGTTGGGACTTCCTCAGGCCGCGTCACGGGCAGGCATCCTCAACCGCGGCAAAATAAACTTTTTTTTTCTTTTTTTTGAGACGGAGTTTCGCTCTTGTTTCCCAGGCTGGAGTGCAATGGCGCGATCTCGGCTCATCGCAACCTCCGCCTCCTGGGTTCAGGCAATTCTCCTGCCTCAGCCTCCTGAGTAGCTGGGATTACAGGCACGCGCCACCATGCCCAGCTAATTTTTTGTATTTTTAGTACAGACGGGGTTTCACCATGTTGACCAGGATGGTCTCAATCTCTTGACCTCGTGATCCACCTGCATCGGCCTCCCAAAGTGTTGGGATTATATGCGTGAGCCACCGCGCCCGGCTGCAAAAGAAACTTTCTAAGTTAACAGACCTGTCTCCAATCTGCGGTGTTCACAATCAACGGTAGCATTAAGTTAATTGAGCAACGCTTTAACCCACTTAGCATCAAGGGAATGTGTTCTCTTTCCGGGTCCACAAGGGGGCGTAGTTTTAAGGGCAAGAACTTCCCAGGGCCATGCCCCGCTCCTATCTCTCTCCATCCAGGAGATTTAACAATTTATGTTTAAATTTCACAGTCTTGGGAAGAAATAAAAAGTCAATCACTCCAGTGGAAATTCTAAGAAACCAGAAACTACTATCATTGGCCTCTTAGAGAACGCGGGGGTTCCTCCAGGTTAAAAGTCCACTTCTGGCCGGGCGCGGTGGCTCACGCCTGTAATCCCAGCACTTTGGGAGCCCGAGGCGGGTGGATCACGAGGTCAAGAGATCGAGACCATCCTGGTCAACGAGGTGAAACCCCGTCTCTACTAAAAATACAAAAATTAGCTGGGCATGGTGGTGCTCGCCTGTAGTCTCAGCTACTCAGGAGGCTGAGGCGGGAGAATTGCTTGAACCCAGAAGGTGGAGGTTGCAGTGAGCTGAGATCGTGCCATTGCACTACAGTCCAGGTAACAAGAGCGAAACTCCGTCTCAAAAAAAAAAAAAAAAAAAAGGCCCCTTCTTCCACATCTCTTTGGACCCCATGTTTGGGTCCCCTTCCACAAATACTCTCTCATGGAAGCTGCTTTCCCTCTCCTGAACTCCATCTCTCTCTCAATTCCCTTCCACTCAGGGTGGAAGCTGCTTTCCTCTCCTGCATTCCATCTTTCTGGATTCTCTCCTTCTCTGGTTTTACCCCTCTGGGAATCGTTTTCAGTCAGTGTGAGAGTTAGCTGTTTGTCACTCCTTTCTCTTTCTCTACTTAAATAAATCACTTTCTACAATAGTTTTTTTGAGTCCGGCATTTACTGTGCACTGTGCCATGGTCTCCTCACCCATTCTTGGGGAGTGACAGACTGAGAACCTGGAGAAACATCCTCTCAGGGCAACTGAGGGGTCTCCCCTGAACCCCAATATAACAGTATCCTTTCCTTGATATTCTAACTTATATTAAACTCCTTTTGGGAATTTGACTTCTGTCTTTAAAGAGGCCAGGTGCGGTGGCTCACGAGGTCAAGAGATCGATACCATCCTGGTCAACATGGTGAAACCCCGTCTCTACTGAAAATACAAAAAAGTAGCTGGGCATGGTGGCGCATGCCTGTAATCCCAGCTACTCAGGAGGCTGAGGCAGGAGAATTGCCTGAACCCAGGAGGCGGAGGTTGTGGTGAGCCGAGATCGCACCATTGCA